CCCCCCAAACAAAACAAACATGCTGAGAGGAGAGGCGATTTTAGCACTGATAGACAGTAATAGATAGGTGGGCCTTCTAGAAAGTTCTGGTTCTATCAGTGGAAGCAGGTTATGAGCACATCTGTGCTGCAGATGATGATTGTCAAATGTCAAGTCATCACGGTGATAATGATGATGAATGTGCAACATGCTCCACAAAAATGATGAGGATAATGATATGATGATGACAGTAATGCATTTATACCTTTTTTTAAATCTTCAAGCTTACAACAAAGATGGTGGTAATGATGATGACAATGATAGTAACAATGAAGACAGTAATGATGATGACAATGACAGTGACAACAAAGACACAAATTATGATGATGACAGTAATGATGATGACAGTAACATTAGTAACAATGAAGGCAGTTGGCCTAATGATGATGACAGTAAGGATGATGACAATGATGGTGACAATGAAGACAGAAATGATGATGACAGTAACAATGAGGACAGTAATGAGGGTGACAGTAATGAAGTGTATTTAAACAAGCACTTTGACTTTGAGAAGTCAATGCCCACAGGCCACACATCTCGCTGAAGTGCACAGGGCCAATTTCTCTCAAATATGATTGTTTTTTTGTTTTAGTAGTAGAGGTTTTAGGGCGCTCGCAACTGCATTAGGTCATATGTACGCCAGAAGATTAGAGGTGTCTCAAGAGAGTAACAAACATAAAAAAAGAAGAAGGGGAGATAAGGATGATAGATGTTCGATAGGAAAGAAGGAGCAAACCACACCAGAGCACCCGCCAACCACCCACATATTATTGTTTGTTTAGTTTTAGACCTAGTAAGGGTTATATGACACTCGCAACACAATATGGTCATGTAAGTGCCGAAGATTAAGGACGTTACACGAGAGTAAGAAGCACAAAAAAGAAGGAGAGGAGATAAGGACCATGGACGCTGTATAGTATAGGAAATACGGAGCAAACCACACCCAAGCTCCCACTAACCACCCACTATTGTTTTTAAAAAAAATTAAAGTGTTTTTACTCCATAATCATCACATTTTAGATCATTTTGGAGGGCTTACGATCCTGACTATAAGGGCCAATCCTGGCTGAGAGAGACAAAACATCCCAACTGAAGACAGAGAAACTCGAAAAAATTTCTCCACATTCGGGAATCGAACTGGGGTCTCTCGTTGTGAGCGACAGCGAAGAGGCCACTTGCTGCACCCCAGATGCCGGTATGCTATTGTTTCTAAGTACCAGTAATGACTATCACTATAGTTGACTACTGATCGCAGATGAGTTTGTTTTAGTAAAGTTTTACGGTGCTCGCAACTGCAAAATAAGGTCATTGAGCGCCAAGGGATGGACGTCAACAGAGAAATCCAAACGAGGAATCAGGATTACTCTGCTCACCTCTCTTGCCTCAACAGCACAAAGTCTGCTTTAACTATCATGGCACCCCGGAAATAGCAGTTCACAAGGGAGTGACAAATATATACAAAAGAAGTTGAGGAAAACTGATGATAGTAAGGATGAGGAAAGAAAAAGCAGCAGTTCCCCTTATGTTGTTCCGGTACAGAATGAGCATGAAAAAATCAGTTCATTTACAATTCTACTGTGCATAAGAAGCACATGTTAATATCCCCCCCTCCTCCCCTCTTTGGGAATGGCCTAAGACAACTTCAGTCAGTAGCAATGCCCAGGGGGTGGCAACAGATGAGTTGATGTCGCCGGGGGAATGAAAAAAAGATTGACTCATCCGAAATTCAACCTAACCTTACTCAAAAGATGCAATAAATTCCCTGAGTAGAAGAGAACAAGTCACGATCTTTTGCCTTGAAACACAACACATACCACTAAATTCCTACCTTAATAGGATCCACAAGGATACCCCACCCAACTGCCCGTTGTGCGACTGCCAGGATGAAACAGTACCACACCACCTCTTTACCTGCCCTGCACTTTGCGACCTGTGTAGCACCTATCTACCTGCCTTCCCAGACATCGGAAAAACTCTATACAGCGACAAAGCACAGCTGATTAAAACCTGTAAATTCTTTGCCATATCGACAGACCGAAGGGCTAGAACCTAAATGGCTGCTGGATCGGAAAAGTAAAGTAAAGTAACCTAACCTTTGGGATCTGTAAAGAAGAAGAGGTGCTGGGACCCACGCAAAAGATCAACTTAACCGAAAATCAACTCAAGTGAGTTCAACACAAGTGGAGTCAACTGTATGTAAATATATAATAAAATATATATATAGATTAAAATTAAAAGATAAATGAAATTTTTTTTAAATAAAGATATTTTTATTTGCCCATTGAGGATATCTGGATAAAACAAAGGCATTCATGTTTCAAAAACATCCATCACATTGAATATAGTCACATCCTTCACACAGATAACATACTTATCCGACTTCGCACCAATGTTATAACATATTTTCAAAGATGAACACACCATTGTTGACTGATATGTGAGGCATCATTATGAAATCAGGCACTTGTCAAATTAATGAAATCAAATCAAAGAAATCTGCATTTTTTGGCAGATGGGTAATTTTCTTCTCATTTTCTTTTTTGGCTCAACATCTTTTACGTCCATTTACAAACATACTTTTGTGTTGATTTTACTGAATAAATATTGATTAAAGCCGCAAAAAATGTAAATTTTCAGTTTCCAGGGACTCTCAGGCTATGGAAGTTACCAAACTTTGGCGTCCTTTTTTTCACTAATTTTACCTCTTAAACCAAGCGACCCCGACCTTCAATCGCAAAAATTTCGACTTCTATTCCAGATAAATGGATTTTTTTTTCACCTAAAAGAAGGCAAATAAACAAGCTTTAAGATGACACCAATATTATAACCCCATATTCCAATAAATTGATGAGCGCCTGATTTCACCATGTCCTGACACATACAATTTTATAGCAAAATAGAAACTTTGGTAGCTTTCTCTGGGAAAGTAAAAACTACAAGAAGCCTCCTCTCAGGGTATGGTACAACATCACTCCCAGACATCATACATAGAAAATTCAATCATAAATCACATGCCCTGTCCTCACAGACTTACATCTCACAATGCAAAGACTTTTCCTCTGCATACAAAGGTATGCAACATTAACATTTTGATAACATCAAGAAGATAAACTGTTTTTCATGATTAAAACACGGTGGAAAAAAACTATATAAACATATTCTTCTTCTAATACTTTTCACATATATATATATACACATGAATAACTGCGCTAAAATGTCATGGTAAAAACAAGCGACAATAATTATTCTGAGCATTTCGGGATACTTTTTGTTTGTTTTAGTTGAGGATTTACGGCGCTCGCAACTGCATAAGGTCATATGAGCGCCAAAAGATTAGATTGTTACAAAGAGTAACATACATAAAAAAAGCTTAAAGACAATTCACTTTATGTATTAGTTAGTCATCCCCAAAACACTGTTACTTAGTTATCATCATAGCAAAATCAATTTACACACAAAAAAGATCCAACCGTCAGGAAAAATGAGGATTGAGCAAAATTTGAACCAAAACTACAGTGAATTATTTATCATCACTACCAAAAGGATTACCAAACTCTGACTACACCAAAAATCATACTTGCTGGAATGTCCAAACTTAGAACTTTCCTGGTTAAAGGTACAGAAACAGACTCTCTAAAAAATGAATCAAGAACATGGGTGGTTGGCAGGTGCTCTCGTGTGATTTGCTCTTTCTTTCCTATCAAACATCTATTGTCCTTATCTCTCTTTCTTTTTGTGCGTTTGTTACTCTCTTGTTGTAATACCTTTAATCTTTGGCACGTAATTCACCTAATTGGGTTACATGTGCTGTAAATCTCTAACTAAAACAAAATGAATCAAGTACCACAATCGACGCAGTTGATCAATACATTCGCAGAGTGTTTGTGTACATTGAGCTATCAAACTTCAACTATGAGAGCTGTCCCAAAAAGCAAGGTAAAAATAGCCACAGGATAACCAATTTCACACAGGCCAATAAACTTACACATTATATGGCAAAACCATTCAGTTAATTTTCAAAGCAGTCCCTATAAAGATTGCTGCTTGTTTCCATTGGCTCTACAGATGATATTGCTCCTTGAAACAATTCCGACGAGGGAATGCAGACAATCTTAAACTACTGTGTATAATTTTCTGTGAACCTTTTTCCAACCAAATGCACCTCCAGGGACCTAAAAAGACGGAAGGCTGAAAGAGCACTGTTAGTTAAGACTATGTGAAGGATGAGTCTTTAGCAATCTCCATAACTTTCTTCTGCATATCTTCACAAAAAAAATTCTGGAATCAACTTTGTAACAGTAAAGGCTTCTCACATAAAAATTTAGAATTGCTCTTCATATGTGAGGCAGCGTGGTAGAATCAGGCTCTCGTCAAAATAATCAAAGTGAAGAAACTTTCATTTTTCCGCAGGAGTGTGAATTTTAACAAATTTTTGTTTTATGGCTGAACACCTTTCATGCTTATTAAAGAACTAATTCCTGTGTGGATTTTTCTTAAAAATGTTGATTAAAGGCTCAAAAAATGTAAATTTTCAGTTACCACGGACTCTTAAGCTAAGGAAATAACTTATCTTTGGCAGCCATTTTCTCACTAATTTCACCACTGAAAACAGGTGACCCCCACCCCCTTCTTTCGCAAATATCTCGACTTGTATTCAAGATAAATGGATATTTTTTTCTTCCCAATAAAGACAAATGAACAAGCTTTAAGATGATACCAAAAACTCTACATGCCCAAAAATTGACAAGAGCCTGCTTCCACCGCCCTGCCTCACATATAGCTCGTCTTCCAAATTCATTTGTGCCCCATTACAAAAATGCATCTGTGACACATTTGCTTTTTTAATACATTTTCCCCCATAGACAGCAATGCATTTCTAAAAATTTCTTTGGGATTCTTTCCTTTTGTTTGTAAAAACTGTAAGACTCCACGGCGCACTTCTATAGTTGCATCTCGGCCTCATGAAGTTCGCATTGTTAGAAGTGATGTCAAAGACATTCCCATAACTACTACCCTGACAGCAGGAAGTGAACATTTTCTTTAAAACCATATTTGTGTGTGTGGCTGGAGAAAGGTCCCAGTTCTCAGCAAAGCTATTTTACTAGCAATGGGGTGAAAGAAAAGGCCAAGAAAAGCTGTACCTAGTCGAAAATTTTGTTCCTTCAGAAAACATACATTTAACCATTTCTTAGTAACATATTGAAAGGATTTTATATTTTAAGCCCAAATGTTTCTTTTATTAATTATTTTTGCAACATGTTGTACTTTGCCAAAGGTGAAAAAAGTGCTAGAAATAAGGTCAACATACTAGCGGCGAAGCTATTTTTCTCAAAACAGCTTTTTACACCCTGTATTACAAAATGTGGCATATCTTTAAAACTACTCCAAAAAATTTTTTCAATCAGCTTGTTCAGCTTTGAGTTTGCTCCAAGAATATCTCTACCTTGCTTTTGGCGCTCATATGACCTTATGCAGTTGCGAGCACTTAAAACCCTTTACTATATATTTTAAAAAATACCTTGCTTTTCTGACAGCCCTCGTACATTTACATCAATTTTTAAGGTAAAACATACAACTGCGATAGTGTAGCTACACAATTTTGTACGGGGGCTTGGCTGGCCACAATCTGACCAGCGAGGATCCTCCAAAGAAGAAGGTGGACACTGTCCACTTGGCTGTTGCTCCAGCGCTGAAGTCACGGTCACTGCGGGAAAGAAAAGAACACATTTCTTGAGCAAACCAAGAAAGTCACATTTTCAAGAACATATTCAGGCAATGTAGGCCTATGTGTAAACAAGACAACATTCTATCCCTGATCTATCAAGAATGTGTATGTGTAAGGAACCAAACCCTTCAGATTGAGGTATCCTGGTCACCATTCCTACTTTGATAATATTTTACATTCAAACATGGTATTCAAACATTTCGTCGTCTATCACACCAAAGGGCGTATCCCTGTTTTCTTACTTTTTCAGGAGAACGATTTAAAGATTTTCAGACTTAGGTTGCTTTATCCTTTTCCCTTGTCATTATAGGAATTTGCATCCTACCATCGCGATATTTGGATATTGTGTGCATGATAAGATATGAAACAATCAGCAAGATTAGTTTTGCACTTTTTTTTATAATTTCACTGCGAAAATGTGCCATCTGTGGGCATACGCCCTTTCGTGTGATTGTTCGACGTTTCGTCCTGTCCTAAATCAGTGTATACGCCCATGTTTACGCCCTGTGTTTGAGTGTTCACACAAGTAATTTCAGTCTTCAGACTGACCAGTAGAGGATAAAAATTCCTCCTCACTCCCCCATCCACACGCCAAATCTTCCCCTTTCTTTTTTCCTTCCCATACCTCTCTGTTCGTCCGTCTGTCTGTCTGTCTGTCTGTCTGTCTGTCTGTCTGTCTGTCTGTCTGTCTGTCAGTCCGTCTGTATCTTTCTCTCTCTCTCTCTCTCTCTCTCTCTCACACACACACACTCACACATACACACACACACACACACACACACACACACACACACACACACACACATACTCTCAGGTACAGGCATCACGTTTTAGAAAGACAAGCAGTTTCCTTTCGTTCCAATTCCAAATTTATTATTAAAAAACAAAAAACAAATTAGTGATGGATGCCACCATGCTTTGGTTGGCTATCCTTTATCAAACATGTTTGTATTTCTCAGCTTGAATTTTGTGAGACATCTCATTCGCTGTGTGGTAGTTGACAGAAGAAAGCTTTGTGCTCGGCATTCCGGATGACGGGTGTGTTCCCAGAGCACAGAGACATCAAATCGCCGTATTTTTCCTTGCTAATTTTGTTTGGTTCTTCATTTAGTTGTTTAACTTCACAATGAATTAGGTGTGAAAGTTGGCGCTTCAGCGAAATGGACCTGTACTGCTCTTCCAGGTGACTGTTTTAAAAAAATATTGTTGTTGGGTGGGCTTTGTTCACCCTCACTTCCATGACCTTGTTCCAGTTCACGGGAACACCTGAATCCTGATTGTCCTTGCGGACGTTGAGAACTTTCAGATCTTCTGACAGTTTTTAGTAGTTTAGAAAGTCACCGTGCTCAAGCGGGAGTACCTTGTATGGCTGTTTGCGTCGGGCCAATGCAATGATGGGAAACAGCTGTGATGGGAGAAGCACATCCCCAGCATTTCCCAAGGCCGTGCTTATAGCACTGTGTGCTGAGTCACCTTCGCACTGCCCATGGAACGATTCAAAGTACCTGAGTGACAGTTCCTCCATGTGTGCTGAAGTGTTGATCATGTGGAGCATCATGGTGGGCATGATTGTGTTTTTATTTTGTCCCGGGCAGCCATCGGCGAACAAGTAGGCAGTCTTGATGCCTCTTTGGTCATATTCCCTGAGTGCCCTGCACACCGCAGTTGATATCTCTGAGCTGCCCCTTCTGCTTTGGCCTTCGTGCCAAATGAAGCAATCACATGTGTGGTCACCCAAATTATAAAATGTCAAATTGAAATTGGAAAGTCTCCTCTTGTAGAACAAAGCATCTTCATGTGAAATTGACAAGTATATGACCTGTTGGAGATCAAAGTTCCCTGCCAGAATGCTGTGGTCAGCTTGAGTCATCTTCTTGCAATCCTTCTTAAGTTGTCGCACCTTTTGTTTTTCTGCTTCGTGCCTGTTGTAAATTTCCCTGAGCTCATTTTTCTGAGCTTCGTCCCCTTTTCGGAAAGAGTTGCAGAGTGAGCATTGGTCCTTTTTAGGACTATGAAAGGCCAGGCTTTTCGTCTTGAACACTCGTCTGTATGTATGAAAACTTGGGATGTCATTGCATGGGTTTTCTTTCACGAACATGTCGTACATTTTGGACAATGTGAGGTCTGGGCTGAGATACTCTTTGCTGGAAGAGGCCCTACAGTAGTGCGATTCCACGCGTGGAAATCTGTCAATGTGTCGACTGATTTTCTCCCTGTTTTGTTCTTCTCTTGTCTTCATCTGCTCCGATTGTCTGCCCCCTCGCTTGTCTTCTTCCACAACGCCGGTCTCCGTAATCTTTGATAAAACAACTCGGACAAATTTCTCTGAAATACTTAAGGTTGCAAGGAATGTGTTTCTACACACTTCCAAGCGCTTTCCATTGACTGTGAGGTAATAAGCATGCGTTTTGCTGCGTCGAGAGTTTGGTTTCCCGACCTTGGGCTCAGTCGTCTCAATATGCCTCGCAACGAACTCTCTCTCCTTCTCTGCAGGTCAGCCAGTTTATAAAAGTCCTGAAATATCTCCCTCCTATCCGTTTCTGTGGTTCCAGAACACTGACGGCCAGCTCTCGTACATTCCATTCCAACGCAGCCCTTTCTCATCATTCGTGCTGGAACAACCTTTTTCGTGCCGGCGCTCGCGTACTCTTCGCCAGACTGTCGCTTTCTTTTTGCATCGTTCTTCTTGTTGATTCTCTTCCGTTTCTTTGGTGACGCTTGGCGGGCTGATCCTTCAACTTCAAATGATTCTGGTAGCTGTTCGTTGCTACTCTGGGTCTCATCGGTCTCAATATCATTGTGCGTTATGGATTCAGTGTTTGTTGATTCTGGCGCTACTGACAAGGCTCACTTTGTAGACATGTCTTCAGATCAATATAACAAAGGCAAAGTCCTGATGCTTTTATCACTTCAGTCAGTAGCGCTGCCGGGGGTGGGGGAGGGGGGTGTCTAGATAGCGTAGCCTTCTAGTTAATGAGTGTAGCATAATACGCTAAAGGAAGAACATATAGCTTAGCAATATTCATGTGAATCGTCGGACAAAAAGTAGATCTTATTTAAATTTGATCAAACCCAAGTTTGCTTTTTCGAATGGTTTCCAATCGTCAGAAGGTAAGCAGGTCAGTTTGAAAGACAGGTTGTATGTGACAGCAAGCCGCAAGCACCAGTAAGCAACTGGAACAACACAATAAGGCCGGTCTTGTTTTCACTCTTGCACAAGCAGAATTCGCTGCAACACAGTGCATGCGCTGTGTACAGGCCTATTGTATCATTAGAGGAGGGCCAGTATTACTATATTACGTCATACGGCCTTGGCCTATGCCAGAAAAAAAGACAAAAGTGTAACGGTCGTTCACATGAAGGGGCGTAACCAAGGTATACGTCCTTTTGTGCGAATAGATTTGATACAACTTTGTATCAATTTTTTGCACACGAAAGGGCGCAAGCCTGCGTACGCCGTTTCGTCTGATTCGGTCGCGTTGAGTGTTAGCGTACGCCCTTTTCGTTTTTTTACTGCTAGTACTGTTATTTTAAAGCTAGGTATACGCCGTTTCGTGTGAACATAGATCTGAGGCAGCACTATCTACTAGTAGTAACAACTCAAAACTGCCAAAATCTGGAATAAGCCCTTTCGTGTGACAGGCAACGATTCTAATTCAAACAAAAATAGTAAACAGTACAGAACAAAGGTAACTATTTTTATTTCTTTTCCTGACCAGCAAAATGTCCAGCTTAATTTGAAAAAGAAAAAAAAAAAATCTTCAGCCATCATAGAGTCAAAAAATAAGAATAAAAATAAATGCGTAAAAAATCATTCTACAATGGAACATAACCACACAGTGGAAATCCAGTTTAGACCCTATATTATATATACAGTAAGCACTGAAAGCATTCGCTTGTAACTTTTTTAAAAAAGCAACTAAAACCTAACCTTTAACTAATGATAAGCTTACAAATATGCCAAAATGAAGCAACAACTGACAAGAATACGATGAAACAAATAGCCAGACCTCCGGAAATTAAGAAACATTACAGGGACACAAACTTTAAAGGAGAGCAAAGGTAAACTTGGAGTTTGTTAAAAAATCCACACATCTCTCTCTCTATCTATCTCCCTCCCCCCTTCTCTCTCTCTCTCTCTCTCTCTCTCTCTCTCTCTCTCTCTCTCTCTCTCTCTCTCTCTCTCTCTCTCTCAAAAGAAGAACCCTGAAAACTTCCCTAACATAGTAAATTCAAAATAGCCCACTACGGATTTAACATAGGGCCATCTCTGCCATGACAACATGACACCAACTCTGCCGTAAGCTGACAAAATGCCTTTTTTCAATCACAGAGGGGTTTTTTGTCTGCCATACTTTACTTTTTACTTTTTTCGCTCAATGGTTAACCTAAAACATTCATGTTTGTCAGATTCAGCTGTACCCCCCGGGGCAGTGCCACTGACTGTAGTGTCTTTAGGCCATTCCCAAAGGGGGAACATTTCTCGTTCTCAAGCACAGTAGAATTGCAAATGGGCTGATTCATGTCACGCTCATAACTGTGCCTGATCTACAACAGGGAACTGCTGCTTTTTCTTTCCTAATCCTTACTATTGTCATTTTCCTCTACTTTTTTTGTATGTTTGTCACTCTCTTGTGACCTGCTATTTCCGGGGTGCCTTGATAGTTGAAGCAGACCTTGTGCTGTTGAAGCTAGAGAGGTGAGCAGAGTAAGTCAGATTCCCTGTAAAGACTTCTCTGTTGACACCCACCCCTTGGCGCTCATATGACCTTATGCAGTTGCCAGCGCCGTAAAACCCACTACTATAAAAAAACATTTTTTAAAGACTTAGCTGTTATACAAACCTCAGACCAGGCAAAATTGACTGTCGACCCCAGTAAGTTCAATGGATGCCAGGTTCAATATATATACATAGACAAAACAGTTGAAAAAAACTTACTGACAAAGTTTCCCTGCAAATGCAGCTTCCAAAGAATGCATAAGAACAGCAAACACGCTTCTGTGAAAGCAAGACAAGTATAAATAAAAAAAGATAAAATGGAAATTCAGTAGCCTACTTACTGATATTTGGCAATCGTTATCTCTTTCAATGGTTCAAGACAAGTGAAAACTGAACAGAATAAAGAAAGAAAACAATCTACTTTTGTAAAAATACATGAATTTTCAAATACAAAACAAAATAGCCTCAATTCAACTATAAAGCGCTAAAAAAACAAATTCATTGTTATCATTATTATTATTATTATTATTATATATGGCATTAAAAACTACTTGTAGCAAAAACTAAAGAGAAGTAATAATGAAATAACCATGGCTATATTTTCATTCAAATCAAGCAAAAAGCAAATTCAATGTTATTATTATTATTATATGGCAGAACCCAAGGATAACTCTTTCAATCAAAACCAAAACCTGTACATCTAATTCATTAACGTAAATATTGAAGTATTATAAAAATGTTCTTTACCTTTATCAATTAAGTATTAGTATTCATTCATCACAAAATCAAATTCACCAGCGTCTAAATTTTCTTATTTTGTTTGATGTGTTCCCTGTTCACTCTCCCCTCCCCTCTATAATTTTCACAAAATCTGTACCTCTATAGAGAACGTTTCACCCAGATCAGAATCACGGCTTAGAATGAACATTAAAAGGATACTCATGACAGGATCTTTTCTTTTAATAATCCACTCAAAGAGTGGCAAGAAAAACAAAACCAGAAAGAGAAAAACTTTGATGAGTTAGGTCCGACTCCATCATGTCATGTAGGACAAATCTCAGAATGTCATGGAAAAACAATTCAAAGAAATTCTATTTTATTTTGAATATAAATATATATAATATTTCTTATTCTCCCGTCTCCCAAAGATAAAAAAAATCCAAAACACAAGTTGATTCCTCGTAAAGCTTCACCAAATTTCTACTTACAACAAAAGACAGATGTTCGGGTATGTTGTTCCCATGAATACAGCCAAACTTGCAAACGGCCCCAGAAATGACGGGACTTTATTTGGAGATACGGTAGCCATCTGGAAAAGGAACAAAAAAACATATTTTACATTCTAATAGATCTAGTTTTAATCAACATACAGTGAAAGGTTTAGATTTTCTGGGAGTTTCAATATCTCAAAAAAATATGGTATAACAAATTTCTTCAATCATCTACATTTTTAAAGGGCCAATAAGAAGTCTACTTACTATTGTATTGCAGGGACAGATATTAATTTGCGCATGAAATGTAAGTTGACCCTAACAGACTTTTGCATTAAATTTGATGAAGCAAAGCTGATAGTACGCACAGATCAGCACTATTACCTGAGCAGACCCAATTCATTTTGATCATGCATTTCAGTCGGTGCCCACTGGCATTATCAGCTTCATTCAGTTCCATTTTGTCAGTTTGGAGCTGGCTGGATCATCTTCAATGGGGAGGGCCAAAACCAACAAACCGATGATGACCTTCAATTTACAAACATGTTTGTTTTCAAGGCTGCGCGATGAGCGATCAGTTTGGGCAGTTGGTCTATTTATAGTGGGCATTGAAGCCACAGAGACCGAACTGAACCGAACCGACCCTCAAATAAATGGTCACCACTTATAACCAAAAATTATGAAAAGGCTTCTTGGGTCTACCGCAGCCGGAGCCCGACTGAGATCCAAGGAGGGTCAACATTATACTATAGTAGACTAGAACTATTTATCAACAGAATTGACTTCTTCCACACCAGTAAATACAGCACAGCTCTGACTCAACACAGGGAGTGGGATTCCCATGATTTTTTATTCAGCCATTACAAAAATCAATGAAAATAGCTCAAATTCAACAAACACATAAATGAGTAAGCTCCGATTCCATGAAGTCGCTTGCAGGGTCAACAGGCCCCCGCTGATGTGGCTTGGCTCATTTTTCTCCTGTGGCGAACCTTGTCTGTTCCTGCTGGAAATCATTCGTATGGCTCAAACATCGCTTAAAAGCCTTTTGTTTCTATATATATATTCTGTCACATAGCACAACAAGTGGTCCGGGTGTGGAACGTCGGTTAAGATACAAACGCCTCACAGCTTTTCTCCCCCTTGCTACTGATTAATAATAATATTATGATAAAAGCTAGTCTTGACATAGATCTATGTAATGAATTGCGCTCTGGACTGTGGAATCAAACATTGCTGTATTATGTATAATGCTAGGCTCTACACAGCAACTTAACTTGATCGGCGAATACTACGTTACAATAGATGGCACAGTACAGTGTGCAAGAGAATGAATCAGACATTTTGCAGAGTGTGTGCTTGGTAGTGTTCAGAGTGTATTTTCCTGGAATTTTCCATCAACAAAAACCTCATGAATTGCTCTCTATTATAATATGATACCAAAATATCTTGGATTCAACTAAATTGGAGGCCAGCGGTCCTAAGTACTAATTGCCCTTTGGAGCTGTCTGGAGCCGCCCGTAGACTTATTTTTTAACATTATTTTGCCTTACCATTTTGTTTAGTAATTTTGTGCTTGTTCACAAAACTGGTCTAAAATTATTAACTTGGCAAAATTGACCTTTTGCCTTTGGGTGAGTAAATAAATGTCAACACTCTTTGTGACTTGACGTAGACTTTTAATAATCAAGCACAATGAAGACATACACGTCAGACGATGCATGACTGGGACAGAAACGGAACAGAAATAAAGCAGATGAATATGATGGACAAATAAGGGAAATAATAATAATGGACACAAGGAACAGATACGAATGATGGCACATACATGTGGTCTTGTAGCTACTGAATGATATTCCTCTAGTGAGGACAGCTGCTTTGTTATGAACCGGAAGTTGGACGAAGCAGACCAACAATCTCTCATCGTTTATTTTTTGGTTCACATTTTAGAAATTGTAACCAGGCCCTTGCCTTTGTTTTCATGTTCTCTCCCTTCTTGCCATCCTCCCTCCATTTCTCACCCCACCCAGGTGTAAACGGGTCAGATTACCAACTAAAGACAGCGAAGGTTTAGTATTAGTAAGAGTCCATACGAGCGCTGAACTTCATTTGAATTTATGCCTTCAATTTCAAAAGGTACAGCGAGAAAACATGACTGCTTGACTCTGAAACTTTGGCAGAACCTATTCGATTACTATTATAAAATGCATTTAGAATCTAGTCACCCCTAAAAGTAAAAACTAAATCACAAAAAAAAATCCCTCCCCCCCCCCCCCCCCCCCCCGTCCCCCCACACGTCCACACCGTACACACACACTCACGCACACACACATGATGCGGGCCACTCCATTCGCAAGTTAATAACCAAAAAATTCGGAGAAAGGAAACCGTTCTTGGAGAAATAGATCTAGATATATAGATCTAAAATCTAGATCTAGATATCTAGACATAGATAGAGAATCGACTTCAAGTTTATTTTCCCGAGCGTACAGAGAAATAGACACGGCCAACCCCTAATCTAGGTCTTGTTAGGTAACCCAGCGAGGGTAGATCTAGATCTAGATCTAGATCTAGAACCTGAAGTCCTGAAGCCTGAAGCAGGATGTTAAATTTAGAATAGAATCTATCATTATTAGATCTAGAATCTACCCTTGCTGGACCATCTGGTTCACTGATCTAAAAGCAAGACTAGATATCTAAATCTAGAATCTAGATCTAGATCTAGATCTAGATCTATCTAGATTCTAGATCTAGAGAAGATATATATATATATATATTATATAGAGATCTAGTTTTAGATCTAGATCTAGACCTAGATCTAGATCTAGATCTAGATCTAGAAGTCTAAGAGGCTAGAGATCTATATCTATATCTAGACCTTTTTGTTGCCTATTTAATCGATGTAGAGAAAACTTCTTTACAGCACGCCCCACTTTCACTTACCGCTAAAAGCCAAAGTCCAAAAGGAATCATTACCATCCAGAACGGGTGGGGCAGCGTGAAGTAATCACGATTGAACTTTGGTGCAGAAACTTTCTTGTTCCCAGTCCCAGACATGTTGGCTGCGAGGCCGAGAGTAAAACAGCCTTTGGTAAAGGCAAGGGGCGTGGCAGAACAGTTGACTGGTATTAATTACTGATAGTAATGCAGGAAACTGAAATTAAAGAATAAATGAGGCGCTCTCTAGATATCTAGATCTATCTAGAATCTACCAAATTGTATCCCTGCACTAACAGTTCCTGTTTTTGGTTTCCGCCATCAAGGTCCGTCCAGGCTAGTTAGTTTACTAGTTGCTAGTTTAGAGTTCACGCCCTTTGGCCTTTGGCATGTACTGCCCAGATTTTGTTAGACATCCACTTACCCATGAATTCAAAGTTCGCCAAAATCGAACTCATTTTTATGACACAAAAGGGGTGAATAGAAGTGTGTGTGTGGGGTGGGGTTAGCCAATAAAGATCTCTAGGATCAAGCCAAGATCGGAATAGGACATTGAAAACCATATCAACGATGCTTGATTAGGAAAGCTACTATGGGGTCATGACGTTCATATCTCTATTTTGCAGAAATACATGACTGAAGATTAGCACAGCCCTATTCGCTTTCTCATTTGCAAATCGTCAAAGATCTTTGAGCCGAGTCAGTATCGTAGAACGGAACAAAACTTTTCCATCGCGTATTTCTTTTCTGCCCCAGCTTCTTCTTCTTTTTTTTCTTCTTTCTTTTGATTGCTCATTCCGACACTATTGAGACTATTCTACAGTTAAAGTGCAACCGTGACTCTGTCGAAGGTCTGAACATGTGGTACGATCAGATGTCACAACAGGAGAGTAATAAACCCCTGCTCACTGTCTCAGCTCTTTGGCTGGACTATGAAAGATGAGTAAAAGAGAACTACTTCGATGCGCAACTCTCCATAGGCCTATTTTTAACAACACTAAATTCTATTAGATTTCTTGAACGTCGTCACAGCTTTATAATATTATTCTTGAATTATAGGCATATTTCATCGATCGAGACCCTTCA